GCATCGGTCACGAGTGGCCATGGACCAACTCCATGCGACTGTGGTTTGGTCACAAATCGATTTCCACGTAACTACGTGATAATCGAGGGTCGATCATGGGTCGTAATGATCGGACATGGATCAATTGTGAACCGCCCATGGAATCTTATAGTGATTTGGAATAGGCCATGGATGAGCCATGAACCGGGTCAAAGGCCTTGTCGCTCGGCTCTGAGCCAAGCCCTGTGCCTGGCCATGTGACAGTTCATGTGCCGGTCGAACTAGGCCACGGACCGACCAAAGGCCTTGCCGCTCGGTCACGAGCTGGCCCTGTCCTCGTCCGTGTGCCCAGTCCTAGAACCGATCAGGACTAGGCCATGAGCTAAGCTTTGTGCCGGTCGTGAATTAGCCTTATGCCTATCAATGTGCCTGACATCTATGCCAGGTCGTGTGCCTGTCAGTTCTAGCCAAAACTTGGTCTAGTGCTGATTAGGATTGGCCATGGGCTATGCATTGTGCCCGGTCATGTGCCAATGCATGTACTTGACCGTGCAACTGCCCCTCGCTCGTGCAGATTGGCCCCGCACCCGTTCATCTCCCGGCATAGCGTCCATGCAGGCTGACTGAGTGCCGGCTTAGCGCCCGTTCAGTCCGACCTTGTGGTCGGTCAGACCCGACCAGACAGGCCTCACGCCTGGACAATCCGACTGGCCTGAACTTGTGCTAATCAGCTCGGTTATTGGCACGGCTATGTTTGGTCATATTTGGGTCTATTTCTACATCGAACCTCAGTTCGAATAAGGTGGTCAATCGTTAATGGACACATAAAACTCTCTTTTGCCTTAGCTTAGTTCACCTTTACTAATGTAATATTAAGTTTTGGAGGTTTGTGCTTAATGAAAAAAGTGAGTCATAAGTGAGTTATCCTTAGTGAATGATTGAGTGTCCTTGAAAGGCAAGAACAAGTGTCACACGCCCCAAACTTGGGGATCAAGAAGCCAAGAATACCAAGTCAAACTTAGGTCAATAAATGGAGGCTAATCATTAAAAAAAGATCTTATCTTCTAAGTTTAGTTATCCTTACTCAATAATTGAGTGTTCTTGAGAGTTCTAGAGGGGACAAGACATGCCACATGCCCAAGAAGCTTGGAGAACATGAAGAATTGGAGACCAAGTCAATGAAAATTATTGGAGAGTCATCATTAGAAACTTAGTTGTCTTCTAGCCATTAATGAAGAAGATGATTCATACACCCTAAACTCAGGGCATGATGACTCTAATGAGAGGTTTGGAGAGCAAGTAAGACACAAGTAAGATAAGTGAGCCAACAATAATTAGGTGTAAGATCTTGCAAGATTTCCCTACCCTTTTTAGGCACCAACTTATAGCCAATAATTGATCCATTTAGCAACATCATCATTGAGGCTTGGGCTATAAATAGGAGGGGTCATTGTCCCTTTCTCTTCTTTCCTTCAATCATGCACACTATTCCTCTTCCTATCACCCCTTCGGCCACTCTCAAATCCGCACACTTGCCATCACTGAACACCCCTTTTAGGAATACCCCTTGACACTAGTAGTAAGTGAATTCCCTACTTCTCGGCTAGGGTGTTGTGTTGCGTAGTGTGGCTTGAGTGATGACCTTACTTGTCGTTACTTGTGTTGCATGAGTGTTGTCTATTTTTGCATGATGGCCGTGAGTCAAGGCACAATCGGGCCACGAAACAGGGCACCACATGGACTTGTACGCATGTAAGGGTGTGATAGACCGAGTCTGGCTTGGTTGTGAGTTGATATTGAGGCGTATAGACCCAGGCCAAGCTCGGCTCCAAGTCGACGCTTGGTGTGGCGGATCAAGGCACGAGCCCTAAACTGTGTCTGGCATGCTAGTTGTTTATATATATATATCATAAGTCATTCACTACATGAGCACGGCACGCCTTTGGGCCTTGAACGCATGGACAACTGATAATAAGATAATAAACCGGATTATTTGATGCTTGTTGCATGATCACACAAGGGACTAAAGCTGTCACCGATTGATTTCGGGATGCTGCCCGATGGATTTCGGATGCCCGGTGAATTCCAGAAAAATCGATGGATTCGGTTAAGAATAAATTAGTCCTGTGTGTTGATTCTTGCATGCAACGTTTAAATACCATGCTTGATATCCTCTTGGTTGATGCGTGTGTCATGTATAACGCATAAGCAAGGTAAGATGCATCTTTACTATTGATCTGCCATCAACAAACGAAGCGGTAATGGTTGATCTCTTGTTCAAAGACGAAACATCCTCCTAACCAGAGTTTAGTGAATTTACTTACTGAGTTGTGACTCACTCCTTATTTTTTTACAGATTTGTAGGTATGGCTACGCCATCTCCGGTTTATCATGGGCTTCCCATAGATATGCATGTGTCCATAACTAATATAGTAGATGTAGAGTCGGAAGTCACATATCGTAAGTTCACCACCACGATTTGGGTGCAAGAGGACGCCAACAACCTAGTCCCCCATCATTACAAGACTTGGTTTGTTTGGTTTGACGGAGACTTGCTTGGACCCCTTCCCGGGTTTGGCAAACCACCTGGGGCCGCAATGATGCTGTGCCCAAGGGGACCACGGCCAGGCGGTAGATAGCCAACCAAGCTTGAGGAAGACTACTTTTGTGTTTTGTGAAGGGAACTGCGGTAGAGAAGCTAGGTGGGATAAGGACACCAGAAGTGCATTAACTTTTGTACGACGCTCACTTGAGTGCCATAACTTTCAAAAATAGATCACTTGAGTGCCATTTGCCACTTGGCAACCGGAAAATCCGACGTGGTTTCACTGAAGCTGACATGGACAATTTTTTAATATTTTTTTGAATTTTTTTGAATTTTTTTGTAATTTTTTTTTCAATGCTAGCAAGGGTCACTGGTGACCCTCGCCGACTGTGAAGGCCTCGCCTACAACCACGAAAGCCCGCGGCAAGGTCATTGCGACCTCGTTGGCCGAGGGCGAGACGGCAAAGGCTCTCACCAAATCTGGCAAGGCCGCATTGCTAGAGACCAACTTGCTAGCGGCCGCAAAAGCCCACGGCATGGCCATCGCTGCCTTGCCAGCAGCCGCAAAAGCCCTTGGCGAGGCAGCGAAGGCTCTCGCCAGCCGGCGAGGTCATCGTGGCCGGCGAGGTCGCGATGACTTCGCCACGGGCTTTCGCAACCGAGGGCAAGGAGGCCCTCGCCTACTCTAGTTGAAGCCTTCCCAGCCGGCAAGGGTCGCCGGTGACCCTTGCCGGCATTGAAAAAAAAAGTTGCAAAAAAAAATTAATAATAAAAATATTAAAAATTCAAAAAAAATCAATAAAATAAAATAAAATAACATTAAAAAAAGCCACATAGGATGATTTGCCGGAAGTGGCACTCAATTGATCTTTTTTTTTCGAAATTGACACTCAAGTGAGCCAAAAAAAAGCTATGGCACTCAAGTGAGCGCCGTACAAAAGTTAAGGCACTTCTGGTGTCTTTATCCCGAAGCTAGGACTACCCTGACCACGCGGATAGTATGTAGGACACTGGATGCAATCCAGATGTAAATGAGAAAAAAAGGCCCATGGCAGAAGGGCCTGTAACATAAGCACGTATCATGTAAATTAGTAGTGTGCTTGTAAAACATGTTTCCTAGCTCATGTTGTTGTTGTTGTTGTTGTTGTTGTTGTTGTTGTTGTTGTTATTGTTGTTGGGTGTTGAGCGTAAATGCTCCCGCTTGTTCATAACAAAAGATAAAAAGAACGAGACGTCGCAATAATATCCCTGAAGCGAGGATGATCATGACTTTGGAACGGGTCAGGGCCAAGTGCCACGATCTCGGTTCAGGTCGTGACAGATTTGGTATGTGTCGGGTCAGGTATGAATCACTGGATGTGCATTGCATAGAAATGGGTCAAAACAGGTTAAATGGGTCTATTTGAATTAAGCCATTTTCGACTCGACCCACCCGTTTGATGGATGTAATTATAAGTAGGTTGATAACAAAATAATGAGTTTATTTATGTCAAGTCCAATAACATATTATTGCCCGCATTAGTCTCTCGAAATGATAATTTTAACTCTATTTAATTTATCGAGGTAATAGTTTATCATTAACTTTACAGGTTTATAATTTTTTGTGAAACAAAAATTATCTTGAGGCAAATGTGTCATGGAATGCAAGTTCGAATTTTTTTGTAATAAGAAAATTAGTTTCGTATAAATGTGGCATGCTATACCAATTTGGCATTTTAATGGTATTAGTGTCAGAAAAAATCGAATAACATATTTAGCATCATGTTTATAGCAATAGAGATTTATACTGGCACAATCCTAGTTATTGTTCAAAATGGAGAAACATATAAATAACCTAGGGAAGTTACTATTCTAGTAATCGCCCTCAAGTTGGTGCGTGAAAATGGAAGATGCCTATTACTTCTTAATGGCATCGTCAAAAGATTCGTGAGTTACTCAAAGAAATTATCGAAAATATATTATCTTCTTTAGCTACTAAATCAAAGTGTTACTCACTGTGACAGTGCATTATATGTGTATTGCACTTAATACCCTCCCAAACCTTAGATGATATGGATTTCAAGTGAAGTTCATCAAACATAAGAAGAATGTATCTTCCATAGTAGTTCCTTCCAAGCTGACCGGTCAATGCAACTCAACACAATCATCCTTCCACATACTAAACAAAGATAAGGAAAGAAAAAGATAAGCTGAATACCTAACACATATTTTATCCATATGATAACACAAAACATCAAAGTTGGGCAAGTCTCTCCAGCTCTCGACTTTTCTGTTACATATGCCAAATATAATCAATAATGGCGTTGACCTAGATAAGATGCAAGTAATCGATTAGTAGGAAGATGGCCAGTTTTACGTGCTAAACAAGCTCCTTTTCTCGTCGTCGAAATGTTCTCTTGAACCAAAGCATGGCGATCATCGTTGTCATTGAGAATTTCTTGATGGCCCTGTCCATCGCTTGAAAGTTAAAAACCCTCTAAGATCGCTTGAAGTGCAAGAAGCTGCAAAATCCTAGAAATCCGATTGTAAAACCCGGTCCCAAACCTGCAATGAACCAATTGCGGATGTCCAAATTGCCTTCACTAAGCTTATCTCCACTCGAATTATCACCGTCAATACCAGATGGCTTATCTCCTGGACAAATCTTAGAAAGAGGAGGTCCACAGAGTTCGTTGTTGCCGCGATAAACAGATTCATCGTCCATGGTGCGCAAATGGTTGCCAGATGGAATAGGAGCGGAGAGTCTATTGAAGGACAGATTCAGATGACTAATGAAGTCAATGTTGGATATGCTCGAAGGGATGGTACCCAACAATTTATTTCTGGAAAGATCAAGAGATTCCAAGTTTTTCAGGTCACTAATGTTTGAGGGGATGTGTCCACTCAAATTATTTTGAGAGAGGTTCAAATTTTGAAATTGGACTAGCCTAGTTAACTCTTCTGGTATCTGCCCATCCAACATGTTCGTAGAGAGATCGATTGAGATGAAGTACCGAAGCGTCCCATCATATGTTCGGCTGATTCCCTTTGTAGTAGCAATAACATCGACAAGGAAAATAAATACTGGACCTGACACATCATCAACCATAGCCAAGAGCCCGTCAATACAATTGGGAATGGATCCAGATATGTAATTCTGTGCTAGGCTCAAGAAACGGAGACTGTGAAGTTGGCAAAATTGTGGACGATTGCCTCTAACAAAGCAATTTTTCTCTAAATTGATCACTTGCAGTGATTGAGAATGTTTCCCAAATATAGGTAACCTACCCGTGAATTTATTTTCGCTGAGATCAAGCATCACCATACTCTATGAATTTGACAAACAGTTTGGGATTACTCCACTAAAACCATTCCTCCGTAGGCTAAGAGCGAATAATTGTTGACAATGGCACAGAGATTTTGGAATCTGACCATTTAACTTGTTTTCCCCAAATGCAAACGGTCCCAACGGTTGTGATGCTCTCCAACATTGAGGAAGCCTCCCAGACAGTTGATTCTTTGAAAGATCAATGACATTTAGCTTCTTTAACTTACACAAAGAACTTGGTATGCCACCGGTGAGATTATCACCCGAAAGTCTCAACATTACTAACCGTGGCATCTTGTCTCCAATATCTTGGGGAACTTGGCCTCTAAGCATGTTGCTTGAGACATCCAAATATTTAATGTTAGAGGAAATGTCATAGAGCCAATCATGAATGTCATCTGAGATGCTTGTGTCATGGGTCGATCGATCTAGCGCTCCCATACCCGTGCGGCCTTAGGAATTTCTCCCCAAGTAAGTCTTCCCACACTAACACTCACAAGAACTTTAGAGAGAGAAACTCTAGAGAGAGAAGCTCTGAACTTTGTATTGCTTCTTGGAAATGAGAGATGATAAAATGAGGGGGAGGAGACCCCATTATATACAAGTCCGTAGATCTCTCATCGATCTCAATAATTGAGATCGTACTCCCCCAACTACCCCACCTACGGCATTTATTATGGAAGGGTACAATTACCGTATCGCCCGCCCCTAGGAGTATTCTAGAAGACATCAAGAAAATCCTAGTACTAGAACACTCGGGGCCCGCCTTTCTTGTTCAAGGGTCGGTCACGATCCATTTTCCAGAAAACCTCAGGAACGATCCAATTTTTCGGGCCGTGACATTCTCCTCCACCTATTCGGGCGACGCCCTCGTCGCATCTTCGGCATGGAAAGCATCGATATGTTTCTTGAATTGCCAAAGAGCTTCCTCGGGCTCCCAACTTGCTTCACTCTCCGGAAGACCCTTCCATTGGGTCAAGTATTCTCACTTCAGCGCACGATATCTCTTCCGTATGACTCGATCCACCATGATGAAGTTGACGTCTTGATCATAGGAGGTCTTTGCTCCAAGCGGTGCTCGTTGCAACTCCCCTCGATCCGGGTCCTCTTCGTCTACACGAAAAGGTTTAAGCATACTCACATGGAATACCGGATGTACCTTAAGCTTTGGTGGTAGTTCCAGTTTTTATGCGACCTTCTCGACTCGATGCAACACTCGGAATGGCCCCTCGTAGGGACATATAAGCCCTTTATGTACGTGCTTGTATCGGAGCACAAGGTGTAGCTTGGCCAACACCAAGTCCCCGACTTGGAATTCCACGTGCCGTCGCTTCTTGTCAACCCACTTCTTCATGCGCTTCGAGGCCTTGTGTAGACACGTTCGCGCCAAGTCCGCCTGCTCATGCCACTCCTTGGCGAACTTGAAAGCGGATGGGCTACTTCCTTTATAGCCCGTTGCAACCGTACTTGGAGTGAGTGGTTGTTGTCCCGTCGCGATCTCGAACGGACTTTGGTTCGTGGACTCGCTCTTTTGAAGATTGTAGGAGAATTGGGCTACATCAATCAACTTTGCCCAATTCACTTGTGTCGTACTTACATAGTGTCGGAGGTACAACTCCAAGAGTGCATTGACTCGCTTCGTTTGTCCATCAGTTTGGAGATGCAAACTGGTGGAGAAGTTGAGATTCGACCCTAATAATTTAAAGAGTTGAGTCCAGAACCTACCCATGAATCGAGGGTCGCGATCGCTCACGATCGTTTGTGGCACTCCCCAATATTTGACGACGTGCTTCAAGAATAGCTTGGCCACCTCCTCGGCCGGACAATCTTTCGATGCGGGCACGAACGTCGCGTACTTGGAAAATCGATCCACCATGACCATAAGAGTCAGACACCCTTCGGACTTTGGCAAGTTGACAATGAAGTCCATGGAGACACTTTCCCATGGACGCTCCGGGATGGGAAGTGGCTTCAAAAGCCCCGCCGACAACCTTTGTTCAAGCTTGTCTTGTTGGCATATAAGACATGTCCGTACATATGCCTCAACGTCGTCGTGCAAGTGAGGCCAAAAGTATCGATCCTCCACAAGCACCATAGTGTGGTGGATCCTCGGATGACCCGCCCACTTGGAATCATGGCACTCTCGTAAGATTTCCTTCCTTAGCTTCCCATGGAGGGGCACGTACAACCGTCGTCCCTTGGTGTAAAGCAAGTCGTCTTCACACCAAAATTGCCGGGTCTTGCCTTCCCGAGCATGGTCGAGGAGTGCCTTGGCGGTTGGATCATGTTTGAGCCCTTCCTTGATCCGCTCGTTCCATGGATTCTCGGGACGAGTTAGGGTCGACGCCAACCCCGCCTTTCGACTAAGAGCGTCGGCCACGGAGTTCGCCTTCCCAGGCTTGTACTCAAACATATAATCGAACTCCGCCAGGAAATCTTGCCAACGAGCTTGCTTCGGGCTTAACTTCTTTTGGGTTTGGCAGTAGCTCGTAGCCACGTTGTCCGTCCTTACGACGAACTGGGATCCCAAGAGATATGCCTCTATGTACGAATGCCATGTACCACCGCGGTCATCTCCTTCTCTTAGACCGTGTATCATCGTTCGGTATCGTTCAACTTTCTCGACTCGAATGCTACCGGGTGTCCATCCTGCATAAGAACAGCACCAATAGCAAAATCGGAAGCATCGGTCTCTACCTCGTAAGGTTTGGTGTGATCGGGTAGCACAAGCACCGGCTCCTCGGTCATGGTTTGCTTCAACCGATCAAACGCCCTTTGGCATTGGGCCGTCCACTCCCACGGTTTCTCCTTCTTCAACATATCAGTGAGTGGCATGGTGATACTTGAATATCCTCAGATGAACCATCGATAATAGTTGGTAAGGCCAAGGAATGACCTTAGATCCGTCACCTTGGTCGGCGGCTTCCAATCTACAATGGCCTTAATCTTGGCCACGTCCATCCGCACACGTCCACCCCCGACGATGTGTCCCGGGAATGGAACTTCCCGTTGTGCAAAGGCACATTTCTCCCGCTTGACATATAAGTCATTCTCCCGTGGAACTCGGAAGACTCGTTTGAGATGCTCGATGTGTTCCTCGAGTATCCGGCTATACACCACGATATCATCAAGATAAACCACTACAAATTGATCTAGGAACGGGCGGAGTACCTTGTTCATGAGTGTGCAAAATGTGGCCGGAGCATTTGTCAAGCCAAATGGCATGACCCATACCGCGTTACACGAGCGGTCTTTGGCTCATCCCCTTTTGCAATCCGCACTTGATAGTATCCAGATCGAAGATCAAGCTTGGTGAACCATCGTGCTCCTCGAAGTTGATCGAACAAGTCGGCAATGAGAGGGATCGGGTACTTGTTCTTGATCGTCAGCTTATTTAATGCCCAATAGTCGATGCACATCCGGAGTGATCCATCGTGCTTCTTTTGGAATAAAACCGGGGCACCAAACGGAGCCTTCGATGGTCGGATATACCCCACATCGAGCAACTCCTTGAGTTGTCTTCTTAGTTCCTTCAACTCGGGAGGCGCCATGTGGTAGGGTGCCATGGCGGGTGGTTGAGCGTCGGGCACGAGCTCGATTTTATGATCCACCTCCCTTTGAGGTGGAAGCTTCTTCGGGAGTTTGGGGGGCATCACGTCCTTGAAAGAGTCGAGGACTCGGGTTACTTCCGTCGGGACATCACTCCCTTCATCATTTGGATCCTCAACCTTCAAAGTTGCCAAGAAAGTAGCTTCACCTTTCCTTGCTCCCTTAGTAACTTGCATTGCCGATATTATCTTTTGGTCACGACCCGACTCTCGGTTGACCGGGATCACACATTGACAACGTGCGTCCAAGATACAAATACAATCGGCAAATGGGACAATAAGAGCATCTATTCTATCAAGGAATCCCAAGCCAATGACAAAGTCATAATCGTCAAGTGGAATTACCTCGATCATCTCTTTGCTCTTCCATTGTCCGAGTTGGAACTCCGCATCCTTAGCCAACCCGTTGGTAGGGACTTCCTTGGAGTTCACCGTCTTGAGCCAACCGGCCCCCTTCTCAACCTGAAGATTGAGTTTCTTCGCGGCTTCTTCTGAGATAAATAGATCGGATGTCCCCGTATCGACGAGTGCACTCATCGTGGTTCTTATGATCGTCACGTACGCGAACATCAAGCCCTTAGGCTTATTTGCCTTCTTGGACTTTATGGAACTTAGGATTCGCAACGAACCGAGTCACGTCCCCTCTCGCTCCTCATCGTGTGCCTTGACAAGCGCCGCTAGCTTGCCCAGAGTTGGGCAATCACGAGCCATGTGCACACCGTCGCACAAGAAACACTTGAAGATACGTCCCTTCTTGTGTTCTCCTCTGCTCGACTCCATCCTCGCCCTTGGAGGGGCCATTGGTTGTTTGCTTCCACCTGGGCGGTGGAATTTGTTACGATCTCCCCCACCAACGCCCTTGTCCATCGGTCGGGTGTCCGGCTTGCTTACGGGAGTCGATTTGTACTTCACCAAGGCCTCTGCCATGGACATGGCCGTTGAAAGGTCTTTCGCGTTACATCGCTTTAACTCTTGCTTAACCCATGATTTCAAGCCACCCATGAATTGGTGGTAGGCCTCTGTATCATTCATGGATGAAATTTGGAGTAGCAACTCCGAGAACTTCCGGACATAATCACAGACTCCTCTTTTTTGCTCAAGGCGACGGAGTTCATCTCGAGCTTCTTCCTCCGCATAAGCAGGATAGTATTGTCGTCGGAATTCCTCGACGAACAATTCCCATGTAGTGATCGGTTCACCACTCCGATCGTCACTCCTACGATGCCACCATAAGAGTACATTATCAAACAAGTACATAGTCGCAGTACTTACCCGAATCGCCCCGTCGGTGATCCCCATTGCTAGGAAGTACTGCTCCATGTACCATAGGAAGTTGTCCACGTCCTTGGCCACCCGTGAGCCTTTGAACTCCTTTGGCTTTGGGGCTTTCATTCGTGGACTGGCTTACACGGTGATCACCTCGTTCACGCGTGCTCCTTCCATTTCGGCAACTTTCGCCTTAAGTTCGGCCGTCTCTGCGTGCATAACCTCCACCAAGGCTTCCAAGGCATTGTCCCGTTGCTGAAGTTCATTGGTGGTGTCGGTCAAGTTGCCCAGCATCTCCCCTCGGAGTTCTCCGAACTCGGATTTGAGCTCCAGCACCTCGGCCTCAAGTTCCCCCGTTCCAGTCTCACCTCCTTCGATGCGTGCGGACATATCCTCGACCATTCCTTGGACGTCTGCCATGGCGATCTCCACCTTCGCCATGCGGGTCTCTAAATCACCAACCATATCTCTTGAACTTGAGCTAGCACGGTCCTTCTTCGCCTTGGCGCCTTGCTTCTCGGGAGCCCTCCCACGATCATCGCCTCCACCTTTCTCAGTTTGGGACGATACATCGGATCGTGGTTCCGTCGCTCCTTTGCCTATCGTTGCTCTGATACCACTTGTCACGGGTCGATTGATCTAGCGTTCCCACACCCATGCGGCCTTAGGAATTTCTCCCCAAGTAAGTCTTCCCACACTCACACTCACAAGAATTTTAGAGAGAGAAACTCTAGAAAGAGAAGCTCTGAACTTTGTATTGCTTCTTGGAAATGAGAGATGATAAAATGAGGGGGAGGAGACCCCATTATGTACAAGTATCGAGCTGACCGTATCCGTAGATCTCTCCCCGATCTCAACGGTCGAAATCGTACTCCCCCAACTACCCCACCTACCGCATTTATTACGGAAGGGTACAATTACTGTATCGCCCGCCCCCAGGAGTATTCTAGAAGACATCAAGAAAACCCTAGTACTAGAACACTCGGGGCCCGCCTTTCTCGTCCAAGGGTCGGTCACGGTCCATCGTTCAAAAAACCTCAGGAACGATCCAATTCTTCAGGCCCTGACACTTGCATTTGACATCACCAATCTAGTAATGTTCCTCTGTGTGTGAAGCTATTTTGGAAATTTAGGCCCCACCTTGCAATATGACAATTCTATCTCGCGAACTTGGATTGGTGGAACCCAAGTAGAGCTCACATTTAATATGAGCTCATTAGAGGAAATGTCTAACCTAGTCAAGCTTTTGAGATTTTCAAAGTGAAGTTCGCTTACAACTCCATGTAATAAATTATTCCTAATTCGGAGTACCTTTAGATTTGATAGTCGCCCAATACTCTCTGGAATGGTCCCGCTTAATTTGTTATCGCTTAGATACAACTCTCTTAGAGATGATAGCTCCACCAAATTGGCAGGAATAGAACCAGAAATCGAGTTGAATGAAAGATCAAGGTGTTCTAGTTCTCTAAAATCTCCAAATTGATTTGGTAGGTCACCACCAAAGTGATTCTCAGAAACATCAAAGATCTTCCACTTACTTTGTACACAACCGAGACGACCATTTGAGATGATGGAGATATTTCCATTGAAGTTGTTACCTCTTAATCGTACCACTTGCAATTTGCAAAGACTGCTCAAGTTTTTTGAAAATTCACCTAGTAGGAAAGTCCAAGACATGTCAAACAAGGCAATCCTTTGATTATTCTCAATGATTGCCGTGGGAAGACGGCCTTCATTAAGAAAGGCGGTAGACAAATCAATATGTTCTAGCTTGCTCAAGTTGTAGATCCATGGCGGGATAGAAGAATCTATATAATTGGAACTAATATCAGGAAATCTAAGAGAGGTGAAATTGGCCTGCAAAGTGCTAGGAATAACTTGCAATTGACAATTGCTCAATCCTAAAGATTGCAAAGATGAAAGCATGTTAATGGAACCGAACCAATCTTTGGCCTTCGAAAGGCCAACACCAGACATGTGCAAGTATTTCAAGGAAGATAATTTCGACACCCAATCAAGGTCGTTTGAGGTTAAATAACCCAGATCAGAGTCACTACTAAGATCTAAGTACTCTAATTTGGAAAGGTTATTGAGCTGCCTAGGAATATGTCCGTCGAACCTTGCATATGAGAGGTTAAGATACTCTAGTTTCTGAAGAGAAGCAAAGAACATTGGGATTTTCTGGGTTGCAAAGTTATTGACACTGAGGTCCAAATACTTCAAATACTTTAGTTTAGTTAAGGAAGGAGCTATGTTACCTCCCAGCCTGCACTTACTTGAAGGTATGAAGTTGTCAATATAAATCTCTCCAGTATATGGATTATGAAGATCGAGCTTCAAGACATGACCAGTCTTCTCGTTGCATTCGACCCCTTCCCACTTGCAGCATTCCTCTCCAACCCACGATGACAGGCGTCTCGAAGGATCAGTGAGACCATGCTTGAACTTCAGAAGAGCTTCCCTTTCTACACCAATACAGCTTACATTGGTCGAAGCATTGGAATGACCGAATTCGATTACTTGAATGACAAAGATTGCCAATAAGACTATAGACACAAGGCCACCGCAAGACGCCATAGGTTCTTTAGGATCTAAGAACAAGTATTTGCTTTAATCATGTGGATAATGGTCTTTGATTCACCAAGAAAGAGTCCTTATAAAATATCGTTGAGGTCATTTTCTGATCACTGTCCATCATGACTTCCTAAAGGACGACTCCAACTTTCCAAGTCAATGCCTTCCAAGGCCCACCAAATGGTCGACCCATCAAACTTTCCAAGTCAATGCCTTCCAAGACTTGCCAAACGGTCCACCCATCTAACTTTCCAAGTCAATGCCTTCCAAGACCCGCCAAACGGTCCATCCATCAAACTTTCCAAGTCAATGCCTTCCAAGACCCGCCAAACGGTCCACCCATCAAAATCAATTCAAAATACGTATCATATTTAATGTTTGTAATAAAGGAGGATGACAAACAAAAACGCAGAAAGGAGAAAATATTAGGCGAGTTTAATACTCCACGTCACCTATGCAGCACACCATTTAAAAGTAGACATCTGGCAATCCGGGCCCACCTTCTGACTCCTCTGTCTCTCTCCTCTGCTCCGTTGCTTTTGTATTTATCGGATGTTATCTCTCTCTCTCTCTCAGTTCAGGACTCCGTTGCTTCCTCTCCGTCCCCTTGCTCTTCCCGCTCGACCTGAATCTTCGGAGCCAAAGCCGGAGCCGGAGCCGCATGGGGCACCTCTAACGGCATGATCTCGAGGATCTCCTTCGAGATGGGGGCGTGGCGGCCGACGCGTCGAGGTCGGCGCGATGCTTGGCGGCGCCCTTCCCGCCGTCGCGCCGGTGGGAGGTGAAGCAGAAGGAGAGGAGGAAGAACGCGACCATGATGAGGGAGCCGAGGAATATACCGACCGACCCACAGGAGGAGGACGAAGATGGAGGTCGGCTTGGACAGGTTGGTGTTCACGAACGACAAGTTGTAGACCGGCATCTTCGCATCGACCCTCCGCAAGAAAAAAATCGGGCCTTTCGGCGAACGGAGGCATGGGTGGTTTTGATCGTGAAGAAGAAGGGAGAGAGAGAGAGCGGAGATGTGAACGGAGCAGTGCAAAGAAGATGAGGGAGAGTGGGAGAAGAGAGGGAGTATCCGTGTGTCTAACGGAGGGAGGAGAGACAGAAAAAAGTAACGGAGAGCAGTGCAAAGAAGATGAGGGAGAGTGGGAGAAGAGAGGGAGTGTCCGTGTGTCTAACGGAGGGACGAGATGAGGAAAAAAGTAACGGAGAGACAGAGGAGTAAGAAGGTGGGCCCGGATTGCCAGATGTCGACTTTTGAATGGTGTGATGCATGGATGAAGTGGAGTATTAAACTCACCTAATATTTTCTCCGCATAAAGAGGGATGCTGACAGCACTGCGTACCTCTAAGACTGGCTGTTGTCAGCAATGGATGATCTCTAGAAATTTGTTATTGTTGGTGTCCATCGTCCACCCCACCCCAGTTTTATCACGAAATGACTAGTATTATGAAAACTAAATGAGTTAGGGCCTGTTTGGCAACTGGTCAAATAGTGAAAATTTCTATTCTTCTGTTCTCAGAATCAATTTTGGAATAGAAATCCGTTTGCTAAATTTTTTTGATTTTGGGCACAAATTCTTGCAAATTTGTGCCCAGAATCAGTTTTGGAGCAAAATCAAGAATAAAAAAAAAGTAGCTTCTTGATTTTGGGAAAAAAATAAGAATCAATTTTTTTTTCTTCTTCTTTTTCTTGATTTTTAATGTAACTTCTAATGTCCGGCGCGAGGGCTACCCTCGCCGTATTTGGCTAGATTAAAATATTTTAATAATAAAATATTATTAATAATAAAATATTTTATTGGCCATGAACAAAAAAAATTATTTTACTAGCCATGGCCAACGACTAGGCCATGAAAAAAATTATTATTAATAAAAAATATTTTATTGGCCATGATCGGCGACCAGGCCATGGCCAAAAAAAGGAAAAAAATATTTTAATAAAAAATATATTTTACAGGCCATGACCGTTGACTAGGCCATGGAAAAAAAAAAGGAAAAAAATATTTTTTGCCTGTGAACGTGTTGGTGATTTATCAAGGTTTGAAATTACCAATTATTTTTGTGCTTTACCAACTTTAATTTGCATAACTTACTTAAAGTCTTGAATTCACTAACTCTTAAGTAAGTTAGAGTAATTTAATTTGAAAAAAGTTAGTATATTACTCTAATTTAGGTTGAAAATTTCATATAAGAGTTCGTGAATTCAAGACTTTAAGTAAGTTATGCAAATTAAAGTTGGTAAAGCACAAAAATAATTGGTAATTTCAAACCTTGATAAATTACCAACACGTTCACAGGCAAAAAATGCCACATATCGTTTTTTTTCACCGACGGTCTTTTTGACGCTCACCAATATAAAAAAGCCTCTCATTGCCATTTTAATTGCGGAAAATTCAATGTAGATATGAGATTAGCAAAAGGCGTTTACGAGATCCGGTGGATGAATGATCTAGGTTCTTCTCATGTAATTTGGCCAAAAACTTAGGATACATTCTGGAACAATAAAATCGTTCATATTTAGCATTCGTAACAATTTTTACACAAATAATAATGAACAAAAGCGTAGATTTCAAATTGTGATGTAATGCAACAACCATTTGAATCAATTTCCTCAAACGGTTGAATTTTGCAAAGATTTTCCTTCCTTTTCATGTAAAAAAAACTTGTGTTTTTTCAACTCGAGTGTACAGGTCTTTCAAATGGAGAGATTTTCTCTTTAAAAATGAAAAACCTTTGAAGAATAAGCGCAGAGATCCAAAGGTTGTCACCAGATTTTACCTCTGAATTTATATCGCGGTATAGATTACTAATCTAGAAGTTACTTAAATAAAAGTGGGGTTACTTTTATTTTTTTGAAGGAACAAAATGAAGGTTACTAAGGCTGCGCATGGCAACCATTCTGTGCCCGAGAACAGATTCTGATCAGAAATGATTTTTTTTATTCTGTGCCCGGGAACTGATTCTGAGCATTTGAAGGCGTTTGGTAACGGCCCAAAATTTCTATTCCTGAAATAGTAAAAGAACAGAAATGCGTTTGGTAATGGCATAAAATTTCTTTTTATTAATAATATTTTAATAACATTTTAAATATTTTAATATTTCTTTATTTTCTTTTTTTCTTCTCTTCCTTCTTGGCCATGGCCGGTAAAATATTTTTTAATTAATAATAATTTTATTAAAAATAATTTTTTTATTTTTTTGGCCATGGTCGGTAAAAAATTTCTTTATTGATAATACTTTTATTAAAAAATGATTTTTTTATTATTTTTGGCCATGGCCGGTAAAATTTTTTTTATTAATAATATTTTTTCTTTTTTTTTTGGCCAAGGCCCGTAAAATATTTTTTCTAATAATATTTTTTTATTGAAAATATTTTTTTATTTTTTTAGCCATGGCCTGGTCGCCGACCATGGCCGGTAAAATATTTTTTTTATTAAAATATTTTTTTTCCTTTTTTTGCCATGGCCTGGTCGCCGGTCATGGCCTGTAAAATATTTTTTTTCCTTTTTTTGGCCATGGCCTGGTCGCCGGTCATGGCCAATAAAATATTTTTTATTAATAATATTTTTTTCATGGCCTAGTCGTTGGCCATGGCTGGTAAAATAATTTTTTTTGTTCATGGCCAGTAAAATATTTTATTAATAATAATATATTTTTTATTAATAACATTTTTTATTAAAATATTTTAATCTCGCCAGATACGGCAAGGGTAGCCCTCGCGCCGGACATTAGAAGCTACATTAAAAACCAAGAAAAAGAAGAACAAAAAAAAATTGATTCTCATTTTTGTCTCCAAAATCAAGAAGCTACTTTTTTTTTTTATTCTTGATTTTGCTCCAAAACTGATTCTGGGTACAAATTTGCAAGAATTTGCCTCCAGAATCAAAAAATGGAACAAACAGATTTCTATTCCAAAATTGATTCTGAGAACAAAAGAATAGAAATTTTCACTATTTGGCCAGTTGCCAAACAGGCCCTAACTCCTTTAGTTTTCATAATACTAGTCATTTCGTGACAAAACTAGAGTGGGGTGGACACCGGCAACAATAAATTTCTAGAGATCATCCATTGCTAACAACAGCTAGTCTTAGAGGTACGCAGTGCTGTCGGCATCCCTCTTTCTGCGGAGAAAATATTATGTGAGTTTAATACTCCACGTCATCCATGCATCACACCATTCAAAAGTCGACATCTAGCAATCCGGGCCCACCTTCTGACTCCTCTGTCTCTCCATTACTTTTTTCCTCATCTCCTCCCTCCGTTAGACACACGGACACTCCCTCTCTTCTCCCACTCTCCCTCATCTTCTTTGCACTGCTCTCCGTTACTTTTTTCGGTCTCTCCTCCCTCTGTTAGACACACGGACACTCCCTCTCTTCTCCCACTCTCCCTCATCTTCTTTGCACTGCTCCGTTCACGGCTCCGCTCTCTCTCTCCCTTCTTCTTCACGATCGAAACCACCCATGCCTCTATTCGCCGAAAGGCCCGATTTTTTTCTTGCGGAGGGTCAATGTGAAGATGCCGGTCTACAACTTGTCGTTCGTGAACACCAACCTGTCCAAGCCGACCTCCATCTTTGTCTTCCTCCTGTGGGTCGGTTGGTATATTCCTCGGCTCCCTCATCATGGTCGCGCTCTTCCTCCTCTCCTTCTGCCTCACCTCCCACCGGCGTGACGGCGGGAAGGGCGCCGCCAAGCACCGCGTCGACCTCGACGCGTCTGCCGCCACGCCCCCATCTTGAAGGAGATCCTCGAGATCATGTCGTCGGAGGTGCCCCATGCGGCTCCGGCTCCGGCTCCGGCTCCGGAGATTCAGGTCGAGCGGGAAGAGCAGGGGGACGGAGAGGAAGCAACGGAGTCCTGTACTGAGAGAGAGATAACGTCCGATAAACGTAAAAGCAACGGAGCATGGGAGAGAGACAGAGGAGTCAGAAGGTGGGCCCGGATTGCTAGATGTCGACTTTTGAATGGTGTGTTGCATGGGTGATGTGGAGTATT